CTCCCACGAGATGTACATGTAGCGTGGATTAAAGGAAACAAAATGCCAGAGCCAAGTAATAACATGATTAACAACATGCAATAACCACAGTATTCACAGTGTAAAACAAATGAAAATAATCCCTCCTTCTCCTCCCGTACCCCCCACCCGGGGCATCAATCGCCGCGCCGAATGCGCGCGTCGTCCCCCGCCCACCCCCGCAATCGCCTCCCACGTATACATCATCTCCGTGTAATTTGCTGCGATTGCGTATTCGTCGAATGTACATTCGTATTACCATTGGTTTTACACCATGTAGCGGATAAACGTCTTCGTCAAGGAACCTGATTGTTCGCGACTCGATCGGTCGGATAATTTCATCGTCGTCTCTCGCTCTCGACGACGAAAGAGAACAACAACGTTCGCGCAAAAGCTCCCCGGGCGGGATTATCTCCTCCCCCTGGCATGTTCGAGAGCGGAACAATCACGTTGTCTTGGAAGACGTTAAACGGCCTTCACACGCACGTGTACACACAAATCATACCATACATCACACCACACCGCCAACACATCCACGTGGTCGTGAGCGAGGATTAGATTAGAAGGAGATCCATTTTTTTTTTCTTTGATTTGGAGTGCATCATCGAGGTTAGGACTTGTGAACGGGTGGGGTAGACTCTTACCCTTCCTGGTGGAGCAGGGTGTCGCGCGGGGTGTCGTGGTGGTGTTGGTGGTGGTGGCGCTAGTACAGGCTCGTGGATTGGACTTTGGATTGGGATTTGATTTGACGGAGTCAGAGCTGAGGCCGGATTTCGCAACGGGCGACGCGGGCACAGGGTGGCGCGTCGCGTCCGACTTCTTTCGCGACTGTTGCTGCTGCTCGTGTCTCGATGACGATGAGGATGACGGCGACGAGGGGCCCGCGCACTTGACGAGCGACGACGCGTCGTCTTTCATCAGCCTTCTCCTCTCGTGCTCGTGCCTCTTACTGTTCACCGCGGTCTTCACCAGACCGGACGGCGTCAATCTCGGCAGCTTCTCGTTCAGCGAGCTGTACAGACTCTCGTCGGACGGCACGAAGATACCGGGCTTCGGTACTCTCGTCACACCCTCGGCCTCGCTGCTGCTCTTTTTCCGCTCCTTCGACTTACTCGGCGAGTCGTCCGGTTTGCTCCGCTGGTTGCCAGCGGTCCGCGAGGAGACCCGGTTGTTAGTCTTCGGCTCGGCCTCCTCGGCGTTAGGCCTTTTCCTCCTGTCCGGCGCGTAATTCGGCGCCGGCACACCCGCCGATCTCGCTCTGCTGGGCGCTGAAAAAAAGTGGCTCAAGCCGTCGAAGAGGCTCCTCAGCTGGCCGCTTCCAGGCTTCACCTTGTTGTCGGCGAGCCCGCCGGCCGACTGGCGCTCCGGTTTCTTCTTCTTACCGTCCGCCGCGGGCTGTATGTGCAGGCCGAAAGTCGGCGTGTCGCTGACGTCGAGCTTGGGTAACGGGGCGCCGAAGGTGTTGGTGATATTGCTGAAGAAAGGCGACTCTGCATTGAGCTTAGCGGCGGCGGCGGCGAAGCCCCACGGCTTGTCCTCGCTCAGGTCGCAGGCGAACGGCACTTTCGTCTTGGGTGACTCGATTCGTTGCGCATCGTCCGACGACGAGCAGGACTCGCCGCTGCTCTCGCTCGAGCTATTGCCCTCCTCCTCATCATCATCGTCCTCGTCGTCATCGTCGCTACTGTCACTGCCGTCCGAGCTCTCGCTGCTGTTACCGGCCTCGCTACTGCTGCTGCTGCTGCTGCTATCGCCGGCGCTGCTGCTGCTAGACACTCGCGGCGTTCCATGCTTTTTCGGACTCACGGCACCCCGGGTCGACCTAGCGCTAACGTTCCGCGAGGGTCTCGATTTATCACCGCCCCCCACCCGCTTCAATTTACTGTGCTCGGCGTTAAACGCGCTCAATCTAAAAAACTTTTGCTTCTCCTTGGAGATCCTGTCGTTCTTTTCCTCGAGCAGCCTACCCTGGCCTGCGAGTGGGGTGGGGGGTTGTGGTAAAGGAGAGGAAATCAAAGGTGGTTGACGAGGGGAGACAACACCCGCATTACCGTCCGAGCTGCTGTCCACCTGTGCCACTCCCGCATTGCCTCTCTTGCCGGGATACGCATTCGCCAAGCATTTTCTGGATACCATCGATCTGGAAGAGAAAACATCACCGGGTCACGTGCGTTAGCTCGTCCGACGTCGTCGCGTGCTCGTTCACGCGGAATAATGCATTGCTTTGTCGGCTACTAATTCTCTCCGACGGAATACGCATTTCATTTATCTCGATTTTAGAAGAACGCTTCGTTCATCAACAATGTTCACCCCTTTGAGGCCCGAGACATTCTTTATTTCGACACCCTTTGCCATTTCCCCTTCAAAACTATTCTTTTAGAATCTTAGGAGAATATCATAAGGAAAGAATGTTTCTCTCATGTGGAAACCCACCATCACGATTATGTTGATCGAACGCTGGGACCGCCGAGCATGGGTGGTGCCAATTTCGCTCCTATTTTTATTCTCGGCTATTTACCGAAGAGTCACTTTGATATTATTAGCATTATTTGAAATTATGTTCACGCTGATAGAAAGTCTGAGGGAACTATTAACCGATAGGAAAATTTCTAGGATTTATAGCAATTTCAAAAGTCAACAGAGCCAAAATGGCACCATCGGCGATTCTGTTAAAAGGTTATTGAACCAAACGAAACAATATCAAGGCTCTCACATGTTCGATCGCTTGGAGAAGAATTTACGGAAGATGATTTCCGAGCCAACTTCCAACATTCGACTTGTCCGTTACGTTAAAACGTTAGAAAGAGACGACCGTATTTTAATATTAGTCTATTTCCTATCCATGTCAAGTATACGCGCTCTTTTTCCTCCTCTCTTTCACACTCACTTTCGATTCTCCCGCAATTTCAGCCTCTTCCTCGCGCTGTTCGTCGTGTCGTCGTCGGCCGAATCCTGCGCCCTGTTCTTCTTACCGTCGTCCTTGCCGACCGGTGTGTGTGCCGTTAGGCAATGCCGACATCTCCAGGGCGCCCGGTTCTTCTTGTCAAGGCTGGAGTCGAGACAGGTGGGATGGTAACACTTGATGCAGCCGGCGCACTTGACCAGATAATTCTGCGACTCCTGCTCCAGCTGACAGCCGGAGCAAGTCGGCGAGCAGTCGTCGCAGGACCAGGTTATCCCCCGGTCGACAAGCACCGAGAGTTCCGGCGGCGCGCATGAGTTGTGCAGGGCGGCACCACAGACGCTACACCTGCTCAGCTTCTCGTTCGAGTTGCGCTTGTTGTTGTTGTTGTTACCGGCCACCGTAGTGCCAAGGCACTCCCGGCAGATCGGCAGCGGCGCCGGCAGCTGCGGGAGATAAGCGACGTCCAATTAAGTATCTCTCTCTCTCTTTCTAGTTTCCATGACGAGAAAATAGTATAGTTTGATACAGCATAGTATCGTGTGTAAGAGCTATTATTGGGGCTTATGTGATCTAAAGGCGGAATATTTATAGTATGCAAAGTGAAGGAGCAATTATTGTTACCTTGAATATCTTTGAAACGGGAGAGGAAGAAAAAAACTTATCTAACAGATATTGTGTATTGATAACGATGATCTCATCTTCGAATACCTTGGAATAGGATGCGGAGAATCGGCTTTATTATGCTCTAGCATAAATCTTGTAAAAGCAAGGAATGATACAATATAACATAAGATGTACGGCATGTAGATACGAATGTACAGACAATCGTCGTTGGGGAAAAGGAAAATAAAGAGAACAGTTTGCAAAAATCTAGTCATAATGAGAAACTAAGAAGATGAGATGCGGATGATGATTATTTACCAATGCATTGTAAATAAAGATAATGATTGAAAATGTCTAGTTTGAAGGATGACAATGAGAGGTTTCAATGGCTGAGGGCAGCGAATTTCAACTCGTAATGCCTGAAGTTGTAAAGGATTTATGATAAATGTGCGATGTTTGTTTGTATCTTCTGTAAATATAAACTCTTTTTATCTTCAAATCGAATCGCTGAAGAAATACTTTGATTTTTCAAAGATATGGAAGATAGTGATAGTTATTGCTTCACTCTGTATGATATAAAACAATATGAATGACTAGTGCGAAGATGATGAAGGAAACTGACGTCCGGCCCGGCAATCCTCTCCTTTCTCTTTCCGCCTCAAGAACGAATACTACAATAATTGCAAAGTAAGCTACATCGTAAGCCGTTCGAGGAGCCTTGACGCCGGCTGTGTCGATCCCTGCGTATCGGCCATTCGATACCATCTACTGTTACGTATCGCGTGCACAAAAGGCGAACGAGCGCAGAACGTAATTATTCATTTCGGCGCGGTAAGGCAGCAACGCCGGTTAGGTGCGGTGTTGCACTTATACGCGTCCGAGGGGTGCATGTTATTAAGTGAGCGCGGGTGGGAACGCCGACGATGCCCCAGCAACGGTAACGATAATTCCGAAGAAACGCCGCCTCCCGACAGAACAATGAGACACCGTGGAAATTGCCGAGATAAAAATTTCATATCGCGCATATGTTAAAAGTATACTAATCTACACACAAGCAGCAATATCGATTCTGAAGCGAGGTCTGGTCACTTCAGCTTGAAGAAAGATAATGAAATTTGTGCTGAACGAAACTATGAAATGTTCCTCGAGAAGGACGGAAAAATGTGATATTCGTAGTTAAAAATTAAAACGATAAAAATGCGTCCATGTACTTTTATTCTCGAGCCTTCTGTAAACTTTCTTCTACCTCTCTATAGTCGTTAACATAGAAAATATGTTCAAGTAATAATCATACATACATAATAACTACTACTGTCCCACCTGGTATATCGTAACAAAGTATACCAAGTATGGGCCATGTAGTGCAACTAACACTGTGCCTCACATTCGAACACGATGGAGGATGTTAAATTTCAAAGAGAAAGCACAAAGATATGCGCGCGATTTGCCTCCGTTTCTCGCGCCGACAGCGACCTGTTGCGCGATTGGTCGGCTCGCAGTATCGCGCGTGTACCCGTGAATGCGCCAACATTACCCGTTAATTTCATTCCGCCTGGAAGTTGCGAGGGCCGCAACAGTTCGAGAGGGAACAAGTCACCGTGACTTCGAGCGGAATTGCCCGATATCGTTATAAGCCGCGAGTACACACAGCCGATACAACGAGTCGCGCTAAAATCACTCGATCGCGAGGCAACGACTACTCATCGGGATTCCGAACGGATCGCAGTTACGACTTCGAATTTTCGACCGCTAACCGTGCGAGATCCTACCTGGAAGTTTAACTAGTTCGACTATATCGGATCTTCGATGACTCTTACGGGGTTTTTTTCCTCATTTCAAGTCAGATAAGCAGAGACAGACGTCCGCAGCGCAACTCATTTGCGCCGAGTCTTGTCTTCAACTTCTTCAACATTATTGCGCAACATGAGCGTTCGGCGCAGCCGATCTTCGGATAATTTCTACAGCGTAGCGAGCGATCCTCCAACGGGCGGGATTCCGCTTCACCGGGTTAGTTAAAGGTCCGCATAGTACTTCTCCGCCTCGTGGTGGGCATTTAATCCGCGTTAACGTGACGGCTTCATTTCCGGCCGTGAAAGCCGGCGGCTTGAAGGCGGCTCGCCGGCTTGTCGCGAACGTTGCAATCGACCGCCGCTGCAACGCACTTGCCTATGTTATTTTCAAAATGGTTGGGTTCCCGTCAAACCGGCGCGTCGGTGGTGGAGGTGGTGCGACGACGGTGGTGATGATCGATCCGCGCTAGCTCTTCGCGATTAATAGCGGGTAACGAGCTAGGTCGTTCGGGAAAAAGCGCGGGAAAATGGACGGTACCGATGTCGGCGGGGAAAATGTGTGTGTGTGGAGCATCGTTCGCCGGCTGGGTGTCGGGGTACCACCTGATGCGCTACGAACGGGACGATTGGCGGTCGCGCGTCGGCGCGTTGCCTCGATTTTTCGCGCTAGTCGCGGACGCACGGGCGGAAAGACAGCGATTCCGCGGTGGAGTAGGAGGAGGATCAATAAGAGAGAAGCGATGTACAAACGAGTCGCCGGAAGTCGGCCGACCAGATAGCCCATCGTCCCGACCTTCTCCCTCCGCCCGTCGTCATCCCACTCCAACGACCGCCACACAACCGACGTTCCCCAGGCTCGCTGGGCACCACTACTGCGCGCGATATTTCCCGACTTGAAAGCTCGAGCAACGACGCGTGACCGGCGGAACGACGCGCGCACAAGGTGACGGCGACGGTACCGGGGAATATTTCTCGACAAATTAATTTCGCACTCTTTTGCACTCGTTCGCGCCATCTGTTCGGTCTACGCGCGGCACGTTCCCCGGCGGGTTCAAGGTCGTGAGAAGAGGACGCCAACCGGCGAGCGCCGACGGCGAGGCGGAAAACGCGAGACGACACGTGAGAGCCGGACTCTTACGAGCTTACATTCACCGCCTTCCCGAGCGAACGTCTCCACCGACGCTGATGACACTTTAATCGGGCGAATCTCAGCGAACCCTCCCCGCTCAATCTCACCACCGGTGTGAGCGCACTGAGAGGAAAAGGTGATGCGTTCGGGTAAATATTTGCCAAGGGCTATTGGAGTTGTTTTAATCTTGGGCCAGATAAATGTCATTCGAATGCGTGAACTTTCGTAGTCATTTTTATTGAAATATTTTCTCCAGAAGAAAGTTAGTCTTAAGTCAAGGTAGAAATTCTCATGTATAAGCAAGAATATTATAATATTCTCGGAGGATCTTTAGTCTTGAATTGAACGCAAATAATCATAATACTTGTATCAATACAAACTCGATCAAATCAAAATTAAAAATCTCCTGAGAAGATTATAATAATCTTGTTTATATATATCTACTCTTGATTTAATACTAATTCTTTTCTCCGTGCACTTCATCCGAATAAAACGATTACTCCTTGGCAAATATTTACTAGAGCGTCTGATTTCTTTCAGTGCAAAGAGCTCCAGCGGTAGTCCCGGTATTGAAATTCCCAGCGATTCCGCCGGAGACTCCTCTACACGGAAAAGAAAAGAAAGTCTTCAAAGTTTCAAGAACAGATATATGAGCAAGAACATTCCAACATTCTTGGAAGATTTTTAGTCTTAAACTGAGTTCGAGTGATACCTTGCATCGATTCAAATTCAATCCATTCAAGCCTCCTGAAAAGATAGTAATATTCTTGCTTATGTATGAAAATATTGAACGATTTTTTCCCCGGGATAATCAATCGTTCTCTTTCTTCCTCGACATCGAGAGAGAAAGCGGCCAAAAAGCGGCGCGCACATTTTCCCAGGGAGTAGTGAGTCATCGCGGTGACTCACCTTGATCACGGTCGGTTCCGGCGGCGAATGAGCGCTGTCGTTGTACTTCTTGAGGTACGGCGGCCGGTCGGACTGCCGGAACAGTCTTCCCTCCTGCAGCACGAGTCCCCGGTCGACCGCGCGCTTGGCGGACAGCCTGAGAGCGACCCTGAGGTCGCCGTCGGCCTCCTCATCGACGGTGTGACTCTGCCGGATGTACTTCTCGATACTCTTGAGAGAGGAGCCCTCGCGCTCACCGAGCTCGCGCACAGCCTTGCCTATGACCTTGCTGAGGTCCACAGCCTTGTTGACTTTGAGCGGCCTCGACTGCAGGCCGCCCGGGTCCTTGTACGAAGACTGTCCCTTGTTGAAGATCTTGAGCACGGCGCCGCGCTTTACGGCCACCTCCAAGTGTTCGGCGATCTCCTCCTCGTGGTAATTGTGGTGCTGCCGTATCGCGTGGCATATCCGCTCCACGCTCGGCCGTTGCTTCTGACTGCGTATCTTCCGTATCGCGTCTAAAAACCAGGCCGACCAAGTGTCGGCCGTGTCCTGCTCGCCCATCGCGTCCCCGTCCTCGGCGGCCGAGGCGCGGACGACGCGTCGACGAAGTCACGGCTAGTGGCCTCCTCCTCTTCACCGGGGTAAACGACGTCACGTTCGCCGACGCGCGACGTTCACATCCTGCTTCTCTTGCGAAGCTCGGCTTCGAGAGCTTCTTCTTCCTCTCCTCCTCCGCGCGCCGGCTATTGCGCTGACCCTGAAAGCAGAAGACACGGGGGGTTGCAGAGGTCGTGCGTGGGAGTCGATTCCTACGAGTTTCGATGCCGCTCCCCGCCGGGTTAAGCGATCTCCCTTCGATATAAGCCAGATAATATCTGACATTTACGGGCTCTCGCGACTATTGTTATTGTTGCGTTGCGCGCGGTGTCGATCGAATTACCCGCTACCGTTCCTGCCTGCGCTTTCCACGGAGTCGCACGCGGAAATCAATCAGTATCAACACTTGTTTTCTCACGAATAAGCAGCCATTATTGATCTTACACGGAGAGAAAAAATTGCTCCCGCATGAAGGAATTCCATGCAGCTCTGCTAAAAAATATCGCATTCTTGTTATTAAAGAATCATTTTCGTGAATTGAATATCGGATAGAAAGAGCGATATCTTCGAGCTAAGTATCGGTTTGAAAATACTGTTCCTCCCGTTCAATGTTTTTCCCTCTCAATTTGTGAAAATTATTCTTGAATAACACGAATGTGATTTTTTTAATGAAATTATATGGGATTTCTTTATATAAATAAGTTTTATCTAAGCATATAAGATTATACATTCTTGCTTATATACGTGAGAATATGAATTTTGAATTGATACTAATTTTCTCCCGTGTATTGTACTTGAAATAAAGCAGGCTTGTATCTGACGCATGATGGAAGAGGCGAGATAAAAAGATGACAAGATTATTCGGAAAGTACGACCGACAAACTCTATATTTCAGTAGTTTCACGGAGTGAAATCGCACTGAAAACCGGTGAAAATTCGCTCGAAGCGACGGTGAAAATACTGCCACAAGCAGAATACGCAATGTTTCACCGGAGCTCAGAGCGCATTCTTGCCCCGTACGAGTGAATATTTCAACGGAAAAAAAAAGGAAAAAATTCAAAGCGATCAAAGCGAGTTTGTGTCGCTGCGACAGTGAAGGACATCGGATTCCCTCGACTCGATTCCGAATGGAGGATTCGTTCTATACAAATGAAAAATCGCTCGACGCGGCCGTCGCTCTTCAACGTTCAAGTGGAGAATTTCATTCCAAGAAATTTCGAGAGAGACCCGATGTCCATCCTACGCGTGAGAACATGACGAGGAGTGTGCGCGCGATAAAATTCAAGAGGCTGCGATCGGCCAGTTACACGCGTGAGCTTGCCGGTGAAATAGAATTTCCCGCGAGTTGAACGGCGACCAGTCGGCGGACACGTCGCGGCGCCAATTGTGAAGCGCCTCGAGGCAACGAGCTCGATTTCATAATCCGCCCGAGTAATCATTCCTCCCGTTCGGCTTCGCACGAGAAAGAGAGAGAGATGAATTTTACAAAATTATTCTCGACGCTATTCGTGTGTCCCGCTGCTCTTCGATTCTCGCGGCCACCATTATCACGGCTAAGCGATCATCCTCGCGTGCCCGTGGCGACGGGATCCGAGAACTCGCGCGCCGCCAATTCATGCCCCCTCTTTCTCGAGAGAGGTCCCGGATTTATTCGCCCGCGTCTTTGTTCACCGCTCGCACGACGCACACGTTACAACACGGACACACACACAAACAGAACTATTCGATTCTTACGCTCAGGTCACGCGATTTTCGACTCGGCAGTAAACGATCGTCCAGTTTTCCCCGGTGAGCGATGAACTTTCTCTTGCGCGCGATACCGCGCACACGTGCTCGTTACGCGTGCGTGCATACATACAGGCGCAAGCAAGGGGCAAATATTTAAAATCACCGTGCCCGACAGCGGTGTATTGCGCAACGCGAAACGACTCACGGGCTGTGCGCGCGGCTTATTAAGTCGGCTGCGTAGACGACGCACGCGATTTAGAGATACACGGCGGGGAATAAGAATGGCACGTATCGATTGGTCTGGCCGAGAGGAGCCACACGCCGGAGAGAGACGGATCTCCTCCTCATCCGAGCTCCCATCCGTGGATCTTTGAACTTGCGAAGTAGAATGTCTACTCGTGGCGAAATGTCGTAACGGATCGTCACTTGCGCGCGCGAGCTCTTACGACAGGCCGTCGTCGAACCGTTAATCGGGGATTCGTACACCGGCACCGATCAGGTAGACTCCCGAAGTCTTTTCCCAGCGTTATTTTATTCCACGACGAAGCCTAAAGCGATATTCGTAGTCGGATCTTATGTTTAAGATTCTCGACACTCGAGTGGACTTTCAACGCATCCAGGAAAGTGAACGGTCAGACTACTCACTCATGCTCTGTTTTGTTCATTTCTCGTGTAATCGATTTGCGAAACGAGTGAAAGAAATAATGGATACGATACGTTCCTTAAGAAGAGAGACAAAGCGCGCGCGTTGTGAAATAAACGAAGCTGTGGGCTCAATCTGACTTCGTTATTAGAAGACCGCTTCGTTATTAGAAGGTTAAATTCATCTTCAGATGTTTCGTAGTCGAGGAAATGAGCCATACAGCAACTGAAGATGAACTTAAGACGGTCCTGAATATAAGATCGGACTTAAGTCTGAACCGAACTCCGATTAAGCTAAGCGACAATTTACAGGATTGCAACTGAAATTTCAAAATTCTTCTTTTACCTAATTTCTCCTGCAACAGAGATTTCAGTTGATGACTCGGTAAGAGTTAACCGTCGCTTAGCTTAATCAGAGTCAGGTGCAACCGGGCTTTGGAGTATCAAAGCTGAGTATGCACTGAGCGAACGAACAAGGAACGAACAGCGAGTGCAGACTTTCGTTGTTACAATTTGGGAAATGTGTGACGCCGTAACGAGTCCGAACGTTTTTGCTCATAAAATAGTATATCAAAAGTTCGTGCACGCTTGGGCGTTTCTAGACGCGAATATATTACACGTTCGTGTTCGTTCATTGTATACCCACCTTTAATGTATTACTGAGAGGAGAGTTGGACGTTTAACGATTGAATTGTGACATTTATATATTATATTAACACGTTGACTGCCACGGAACTTTTTACGATTCTGGTCTAAGAAACCAATTTGATTTAATCAAGTAATGAAGCGACGAGATAACTCGTAGTTGGGCAAGTAAACAACCTACGAGATATCTCGTAGTTGGCAGTCAACGTGTTAAAGAAACTGTTCGCACGGGTAAGATTCTGTGTTGACTTTCATAGGGTTGAATTTATTCCTTGATTTTCCCATCGACGCAAGCGTCGATGCGAACAGTATTCTCAAATATTCTGCGGAAAAGACTTGTAAATCAACATACAAATATCTCCGATTATTCAACATAATAACGAATCCTTTATATATTTAATGCAACAGCGGTCTTGCGATTTCTCACAAGGAAGCACGCGTATCGTGTTCCGTGGAAAAGTTCAACGTGTTAATCAAGGTTTGCTCTCGAGATCCGAACAACGTTGGCAAAATCCACGATTAACCGCTGAACTTTGGCCGAGAAAAATCGCGACTCGACCGAGAAGAACCGGCGGAGATATGCAAGGCGAAAAACCGGCTGGCTTTTGTTTTACTCTCTCTCTCTCTCTCTCTCTTTCTCCCCTTGCGCGCGCAACTGCCATCGCGGTCGAAGCGTGAGAAACAATGCGCGGCATCGGAGGCCGCCGCGTGGCCTAAACGCTCCCGATGGCAACGTGTACACGTTTATTTCACGTGCACGGATCACACGAAGAGCGTAATTCTCAGGTAAGGTGCGGAACTTACGAGAAAGTTCGATCGTCGTCGCCCAGAGGTCGGTTGGTCGGTCGCGATTCGCACTGTTAACAGGGAGCAGACAAAGACAGGGAGCATGTCGCCATTTTTTCCGGACATGACATCCGGTCTTTGCGTTCTTTCTACCTGTGCATCTTTCAAACACGGAAATGACGAAAGAAAGAACACGCGGAAAGCAGCAGATTGCGTCTCCACATGGAAAAATATATATTGTATTCGAAGCAAACACTACTTGTTTTAAGTAAATTAGTATACCTGCAAATATGCCACATATATTTCAATTATGCACGGAAAAAAAGAAGTAGCTCTCATAGTCTGGTAACTAAATTTCAGTTGTATTATATGGAATTAATTCCTTTTCCTCTGTGTGAGCATAAAATTTACTCGAATATATTCTGAATCCCAATTAAATTTTAATCGAGAATATTAAATTAAAACAAGCTCTGGTTTGCTTATTCAAAAATTGAGCGATTAACTTTTTCTCTTCATAAGGTTTAGAATATTTTCGAAAAGAGAACGAATTCTTTTCTTTAGCCGAACTTTACCCAAATTTATGATGAGTATATTTTAACCCTTTGCACTCGAGGATTCCGCTACGGAGACAATGCAAATAACTTTCAGTTCATAACATAAGGACAAAGACAAATCGTAAAAACTATTGTGTATAGGATATTCCGCTCTTGCTATTTGCATTTGAGTTTGAAGAGTTTGAAGACAAATTTTAAATGGCTCCGCTCCGGAGCTCTCGAGTGCAAAGGGTTAAGATTATTATCAAGAAAAAATATTCTTTGTCGAGGACGATTCTTACTTATAAAGGAAGAAAAGTAAACCGAGTAAATCGCTTTTCTTAGCGATAGAATATTCTCCGTGATCACGTGATTATCACGAGAATTAAAGATCAGGTCCTCCAGTTTGTTTCACAACGCGGAGCACACACACAGGGCGAATTACACTTTGCCGTTAAGAAGGAAGAACACCACAAACGCGTACGTGAGAATGTCTCGGACACGGAAACACTTCTCGACATGGGCCCGCGTGAGCAGCGGGAGAGGGAAGATCGATTACGCGAGAATAAACGGCGGAGATGTTCCTGTGATACGAGTTGACCTAGGCCAGTGTGATAATAAATATGCCGGCGCCTTGAGAATGCCAGCGAAGAAGGCAGGAAAAAAGAAACTGCGAAGCGCCCAGTTAAACCGGCTTCTAAACCCTCGGCCACCGTGTGTAGCGGTGGTGCGTGTTTTCGCACCACGTGCTCGTCCTAGTCTAAAAAGCGAGCGTCCACACCTCCATCATAGAGGACGCGACTTCCCACCAAAGCTGCGCAGATTT